TTTCTTTTCTCCTTCTCTCCTTCCTTTCCCCCTTCCTTTCCTCCTTCCTTTACAGTTTTCACTTAAGTGGTCTCTTGTATCAAAAAGTAAGCATTTTCTTTATTGGCTATTCATGCATTCCCATTTACAGAAACAGTTGCTATCACAAAATTGCAAACCATGTAGACATCATTCTAAAATGATGGAATACAAAATTAGAAAAATAACACACTGTATTACAAAACGACTAATTCCTCAAAACTGTCCACTGATGGGGCAACAAGCTTTCTTTGATAATAGAAGTGGGAGTTCAATTCATACATCTTTCTTTTAACAGTGATTTTCCAGGATATGTGGTACAGGACTATTAACAATGCTTTGATGACTTAATGAAATTCTATTTATTTCTCATATGGCTGAAAATGCAATGAAAAGCACAAAAACGATTTAGTGGAGAACTTTTGAAAAAACCTCTTTGCCTTGTGCTCAAACACCAAACTTCTAGTCCCACCTTAGGCACAATTTGAATTGGATAACCTTGGGCCAATCACTCACTCTCAGCTCTAAGAATGAGGCAATGGCACATCACTCCTGAAATCTTGCCAAGAAAAATAAACGGGGTTGTCCAGTCAGTAACCAGGAGTCAACACTGAGTCAAAGGACCCCCCCCCAAAAAAAAACCAAGATACTATGCAGGTAGTCCTTGAACTATGACCATTCATTCAGCGACTGTTCAAAGTTATGACAGTGCTGAATGACGGTGGTTATGACCCGTCGTCAGTGTTCTGGCTAAACCAACACTCACACAATCAGTCAATCCCATAACCAGTTGCCAAGTACCCTGTGATCATATGATCGTCATCTGTGATCTCCCCTGCTAGCTTTCCCAGAAAGTCAGTGGGGAAGCCAGCAGGGAATGACACAAGTCACTGGGCTAAGTCCCCTTCCCCTATGTACCAGCCCCCTGCAATCATGCTGTGCCAGCCACTTGCACCTCCCTGCACACCCTCTTGGATCTGCATGTCATGTTGCCCTTGTGCAACATTCTCACACCTCATTCCCAGGCAACCTCCTGCATCTGATTCACTCCAGCTCTCACTCCACCACATCCTCACTGATCTTCACAAAGCCTCTCATGCACTCTTCACACTTTCCCTGTCCAGCACCTCTTGCAGACCTCCTCCCTACATCCCCACACACCTCCTTGCTCTCTGCTCCCACCCTCTCCCAACAGCAGTAGCAACTTACCTGCCTGCCGGCCTAGCCCTTCCTGTCAACTTCTCCGCTAAGTTTAGCGTAAGAAACCAGCAGGAAGTTGCTTAACCTAACTACTGTGGATTTTAATTAACAAAGGAAACCAGGATTATACGGACTGCATCACTAAAAGAGGCAGCCATACTTTATCACTGCATTGCTTGATGATGGAAAGCCTGGTCCTAATTGCTGATGTTGGTCAAAGACTGCACATGGCACGGAGATGAAATGGAATACAATCACAGTTATTAGTATCTGACATAGGGAAACATTTTTTTTAAAAAACTGAAATTAAATTTCTGAATTACATTCCTATCTGGATGTTCTTGGGGAAAGGAGCCGGTTACATTTTGTTTAAAAGGAGTTGGAGATGGCTAATAGCAATTTTATTTCACGATCGCATTGTTAAGACACACTTTGGGAAATCATTGAATTCAGACCCAATGAGGGAGAGAAACTTCCAGCCCCTCCTACAACTCCAAGCAACTAACCTTTCTCCAAATAGGTCCTTGGTGCCCATGGTGGATCCTCTTCAGCATAAGGATCGCTGTATTCCACCACAGCTGCTTCTTCTTCTTCATAATCCTCTGGAGGAGGGGGTGGCGGTGGAGATTCATCAAAAACAGCTTCGTCTACTGGGGGTGGAGGGGGAGGTGTGTCTGAAACTAAAAATATATATATATATATTCAAGCTTCCTCACTTAGATGTTTATATAGATAGCAATGTAATAAATTTTACAGATGAAACCCAAAGTGGAAACATAGACAAGTCTTGTAAATAATGTTAGAGGTTATGCTTCAAATGTTCCTTCATTTGGAGTTAAAAGAGAGATGATTTAGGATCTCTATATAGCTACAAGCGAACCAAGTCCAACCTCACCACCTCCCCCAATTCGGTTGACCCTTATCCAACTCCAAGCATGTGCTAATTGTTGGATGAGAAGATTCCTGTGCACAAACAGGCATCTTAGCAATAAATCAATTTAACTGGACCTTCGGGTGTGGACCTGGTCTTTCGCATCTGATAAGCAATATCTGAAGGGTAGAAGGTGGCTTTCTGTAACACAGGCTAGGGGAGAAAGGCAATTACCCTCTTTTCAGAGGTAAAAAAGAATATGCCTTAGCTGCTGCCTGAAATTGGGACAAAATTTACCAGATAAATCTGATCAACATATCTAAACATGGCATCTCTAACAGATCATAAGTGAATAGTGATATGGCTGCACAAAATTGCCTACTACCCAGAGATCAGTCAAGCTACTGTATACAGGTAAATTAAGGTAAGAAACAAAAACTGAAAGACAATACAATACAATATAATACAATAGCAGAGTTGGAAGGGACCTTGGAGGTCTTCTAGTCCAACCCCCTGCCTAGGCAGGAAACCCTATACTGTTTCAGACAAATGGCTATCCAGCATCTTCTTAAGGACTTCCAATGTTGGGGCATTTACAACTTCTGGAGGCAACTTCTGTTCCACTGATTAATTGTATTGTATTGTATTGTC